AAAAAATATGGGCGTGTAGGGTTTTTTGAGCCTACACGCCCATATTTTTTTTATTTTTTTCATGAATTAAAAAAATAAAGAAAAATCCTGCACCAAACCCGACCGGTCGGCCGTGGCCGATCCCGACCGATTCGGCCGTCGGCCATGACCGCGGCCGATTTTTCATCCCCGGTCATGACCGCGCTTGCAACATAGCAGTAGGCTGGTGGAACGCAGATTCAGCACCCCCCTCAGCCACGAGGAAACACAGGGTCTGCAATGGATGAATCACCAAGACCCCGTGAGGTTCCTGGGCATAGCAGTCACCATGTTCGAGTGCAGTGAATCAATTGCCGCTAACCTGCTTGCCGCAATCATGAATAAATACATACGTTGGCAAAGGGTATACACATCTTTGATGGGAAGGGCCCTAGTCATTAACTCATCAGTCTTCTCCATGATCTGGTACACATCCTCAATTTGGGACCCACCAAAGAATTTCACCAAGGATCTAAAGAAAAAAACAGCCGCCTACCTATGGGCGGGAGATGCCTCCAGGGATCACTTTATTACAAAGGTGGCACGGAAATATGTAATTAACTCAGCTAGCAGAGGAGGACTCAGTCTCATAGATCCGGCAGCGAAGTACAAAGCGTTGCAAGCTGAATGGATACTAAGGCCTGGACCCCACAGGACGAAATCGTGGAAAAGTCCTGGAAAAGATGGCCTGGAAAAACATTTCCGGGATTACATCGAAAGAAGATGGCCGTCTGGAAACTCGATTGTGGGAGTTTCCGGCTGTTTTCGGAGACCCAACCGCATCGGAAAGGTTTTTCGGAAAAGTGGAGTTTCGTGTTTTCACATTCGTATCGTGGTGTCGTGGCGGCACGCGATCATCTTGCGCTGGAATTTTGTGTCATTTCGAGAGGGCAGGGGGGAGGGCATCTCTCTCTTGGAAACTTCTTCTGGAAAGTGCTGGTCCAACCGTGGTCTGAGCCTGCACGTCCCGTGGTCCTTGCAGTCGGTAGACGGACTTCCTTTTGTCACCCACAAACGACTCGGAGTCCCGCCAGGGCGAGTGCTGGAGGGGCGGTCGGGGCCGCCGGTTTTTCGAATTCGAATTCGAATTCGAATTCGAAAACTGCCGATTGTACGAGGATGGGCATCAAGCAGGCCGTGGTCCAATTCGCATGCTGCGCAGACAGCGGACGTCCCTTGCCGCATGTGTGCACAGCGGGGTGAAAATCCTGGTCCCCCAAGTCTCGCGGACTGCCTCCTCCAGCCGCTGCCATGCGTTCCATCGCCAGCGTGTTTCGTCGAAGCATCGCTGACTGCCTCAACGTCCATGGCCTCCGGCGGTGTGTACCACCGCGTATGAACGGGCGAGTGGCTGCGCAGAGGCAATGCAAGTCCTTCATGCTCCAGGGAAGGAGAGATGTCATAGCACAGCCGCTCATGTTCGTCCGTTGATTCTCCGTTCCTCCGGTGTGTGCTTCCAACTTGTCAACTTTACCATTTCTGAAATTGCACTGCCCGACGAATGTCTTGCCGGCTTTACGACCCACCACCGTCCCTGCGCTGCCATCACGTCCTCCTCGGCAGATGCTGTCGGTGGTAGATGGTGTTGGTGACACTGCATCTCGGTCCCCCTTCGCCATCTCCAAAGATCGGCATACCATCCTTGTGACGAGCAGCGGGGAAGCAGTCCCTGCGAGGCAGCGCACGGTCCGCGAGTGCACGGACTGCGCTGCGACACAACGACCGGTGGTGATCATCGTTTCGTGCGTGCCCGACTGCAGTCGCCGGTCAGTGRTCGGCCAAGCCATYGCGGGGGTCGTCGTCGTCCTTTGCATGCTCCTTTGTTTGGCCGCCATAGCCATCGTTTGTCTGACCGTGTGCTTGATCGCCGCTTTGCGGTTCATGTTCTGASTTCGAGAGGGTAAGGAGGTGCAGCTGCTTGCAAAGAGAACTGCCCCAACTGCGTGAGGTATGGAAGGACGCCGATTCACGTCCGAGCTTATGGGGGAGTATGACRACGCCATGGATTCTGATCGGTCAGGTGTAGAGGACATCGCTGGCACTCAGATGGACCGAGGTGGAGGTGTGCAGCGTGGCTCGGCACGGCAATGGCCGCGCACGCCGTTCAGCAACGAGGGATTCCAGCCCGGTGCACAACAATGGCAGTACACATCGGCTCCACCTTCGAGCTGGGGAGGGCAAGCGGGAGGTGGAGCGGGAGCGGGTGTTCGTGGTTCTTCATCCTTGTATGCTCGCCAAGCGGTGCAGATGCATGACGAGTCCATCGGTGTTTACCCGCCCGCCGAACTGCCGTCTAGCACGTGCGGAGGAGCGGTAAGCAACGACGATCCGTCTGCTGCATGGGCACCCGGGAGTTCGCAGGGTATGGCGCATTCCCCGTACGGATCGGTCATGTCATGCGGTGTTGCAGGTCCACGACCCTCATCGCCGGGTGGAAGAATGGAGAACGTCGTGATGACCGATCACACAGAAAGGCAGTCGCACGTTCCCGCAAACGCTTATCCACAGCCCCAAACCATGCGCGCTCAGGTACAAGGTCCAGTGCCTGCACGTTTGTCTGAAGGTGGATTCATGCATGGTCAGTCGTCGGGGTGGGGGGGTGGATTTTCAAGCTTGGGAACAGCTGGCGGTGGAGAAAGGACTGCGTTTGCGGTTGAGGGGTGGCATGGCGAGACAACTGCGATGCAGTTCGGTGATGAGGCCGTTGCTTCTTCCACACCTTCTCGGTCAGGGGGGCCTGCAGGCAATGTCACGGGCAAAAGGACAGCGGACGATGCTGTCGGCGAAGGTTCAGTCATGCGGGGCGATGTCGGTCGATCGGCGGAGGATACGGCATCGGGGCAAAAGAAGCAGCGTGCGAGGAGGGCGCCGAGGGCGGAGGGGGGGAAGAAGAACAACCCGTGGACCTTGGAGGAGCGGATAGCGTTGGGGAGGACTTGCGTGAAAGACGATGCCCTCATGGCCGACGCCAACGGCGTGCATAAGCACAAGACGCGTGGCAAAAGATACGAATGGATCGCAGATCGATTGAAGGAGGAGGGGTACAACAGGACAGCGGAGGACTGCAGGAAGAAGTGGACGAAACTCAAGGAGATCGTTAGCCAGATCGGGGACAAGTGCTACAGGTCTGGGGAGGCAGGGTACTTCAACATGACCACAGAGCAGCGAAGGGAGAAGGACGTCTGCACAACGTTCGAGGAGCCTCTTTGGGATGCGATGGAGTGGTGGCGATTGAAGAAGTCGTACACGTGCGACGCCACTTTCGCTTCAGAGGACCTGGCAGGTGGAGGAGGGAGCGGATCGGGGCGCAGCGGTGGCGGTAGTGATGGGGGTGAAGGTGGAAGGGGCAACTTGTCGGGGCAGGGCCAGGGCGGGACCGGACCGGGGCTTGCTGGTGGAGGGAGCCGATCGGGCGAGATCGGTGGAGGGATCGGAACCGGGGAAGGAGGCGTAGGAGGCGGTTCGACGAGGGGTGGGGGTGTTGCATCCGATGGCGGTGGCACGGACGCTTCGGACACGAGTGGCAGGTCGCGCAGGACATCGTCGGGTAGGGTGCGTGGCGACGCACCCGTATCCTCATCTTCGACGAAGACAGCCATGCAGGACTCGGCGAAAACTCTTTGCGAAGGTCTCGACAAGGCTTCCGGAACACTGGCTCGTGCCACATGTACGGGAGCGGCTATGATGTCCACGAGGATCGGCAGAGCTGTCGCGGGTGCCATGCACGAGGGGAACGCGCTTCTGCAAACCCTCATAGCAGTCATGGCCGCCAGATCGTCAAACTCCACACGAGGCAGAGGAGACAACGACCCGTCATAAAAGGGACTGGCCGATGTGGACAGGTGTCAGACCCGTCATAAAAGGGACTGGCCGATGTGGACAGGTGTCCATTATTTGCGGCCCGCACATGTGTTTTATCACTTTTCTTTTGCTTTTTTATTTTTATATTTTTTTTTTGCGAGTTTGTTTCGATTTTTTTTTTTTTTCAGTTTTTAGTGCTTTTTGGTTCTTCGTGTGGTTGCGATCCGAACGGCCTTGCAATTCCTGTCGGCCGTAGTAGTCCGTGTCTGATGACGACCATCCCCTAGTCACTATAAATTGCCGTTCTCTCCTGTGCCATCGTCAGAAACACTTCGATAATTCTGAAGTGTGCGTTGCCCGCGTTGGTGGAAGCGCGGAAGAGAGGGAGGACCACTTTGAGGTCGTGTGTTGTGTGGCATGTGGTGGGGGAAAGGCGCAGCGGTCTGGATGGTGGGTGTCGGATTCAACGGTGTGGTAGGAGAGACACCGCTTGGCATAGATAGATAGATAGACAGATAGATAGATAGATAGATAGATAGATAGATAGATAGATAGATAGATAGATAGATAGATAGATAGATAGATAGAGAGAGAGAGATGGCTGGCGTCAGCGAAGTTGTACGCGAAACGATCGACGGAAAGTCCGTCGTCGTTCAGGAGACGAAGCTTGAGCGAAGCAGGAAGTGTCCGCGTGGCATGGACTTCAGCGTCGAAGCGACTCGAGTGTATTACGTCCTCGTCGAAGGGACACTGGCGATGAAGATGGATGGCGGCCTGAGTTACGGGCGAGAAGATGAACTCATTGACGTCGTCCTCTCCATTAAGAAGTTGTCGGACGTGATCCCGAACGAATGGCGTCTCCCCAGTTGCGACGTCGTCGGCGACATCGTCCGTTTCACCGTTTCCGCCATTGCCGAGGAACACGCCGAGAACACAGAAGGAAACGCGTCGTAAGCGGCCATTCTGCAGCCTCCTCTGGTGGGGAGGGAGTACCTGCACGGCGCTGTCCGAACATGGTGTCTCGAGGACGACATCGATGCAGTGCGTCGGCGGCGGTAGGGGGGGTGGGGGTGGTGGTGTCTTCCAATTGGGGAAGGAGGGACTCGATTGGCGGGATTGCGATGTCATCGCACGTGGCCGGGACGTTAAAAAGGTGACACGTGGCAGGGAGGCGGTGTCGCCGTGATTTGGGGGGATGGATGGATGGAGGGGGGGGAGGAAAGCATGCGTGCTTTTCGAGGGATTCGACTGACGACTGCGACGACGGCAATGTCGTGCATGGCCAGCGTGGCAGCTTCTTTTCGTGATGTGATTCGGTTGCAGAGGGGGCCGTGTTGATTGCTTTTTTTGTTCCGCATGGAGGCATGTAGTAACAGATCCAGGTTGTGGATTACGGCTTTTTGTGATTTTGGCAAATTGTTTTGGGCTTGACATGATACCGGTGGGTGTGTTCATCGGTATTTTTGTTGCGTCAAGCAAGGGGAGTTAAGTAGACAGTTGAGGATATGGGAAGTTGGGATGGCATGAATCACACTTTGAACTACTACTCGACACTTTGTAGTCATTCCATAAATTCCTCGTCATTGTCTGAAGTCGACGTGGCATGTGTGTTTCAATGGCAGTCCTTCTATTTTCTGGTCTCGATGCATGCGCGCCTGTGTGTTTCAAATGAGCAGGAACGAGACACGTGTAACGTGACATTCCAGTCAGCAATTCCACAAATATTGGCGTGAAAAGATGATAATACGATTGTTGTCACCGATAGTTCGAACAGGAAAATATCGTAGCGTGATGAGTACACAAGCAGTACTGATATAAATATTCGAAATGATAAATCACAACGACGACATGAAAAAGACAATAGGCATATAGTGAACATATAAGTACATCGAAATTAACTGATTTTTAATAAGTGGTTCAATTGTTTTAACAATTTGAATGCAATCCTTTCACGCGCTCAACCACATGTCGTTTACGATAATCGCTTTCTACACACACACACACACACACACACACACACACACACACACACACACATGCACGCACATGCACGTGCACCCCCAGACATGTACACACGCACACCCGCGGACACACACAAACACCCCGTACTCCTTGAGGAGCGCATCCGCCACGTCCTCATTGCTTCGCAAGGCACTGCAGAGACCCAACCCCAATCCATGCGCTGTCTGCCTGTAGTAGCCCCTTGTCGCCCACCTCATGAGAGCACACGCGAACTTCTGCCCTGCCGGAATTGGCTGCCTCCAGTTCGTGCTCTGCCTTTGGATATGGGGAGCAATCCGTGCCAGGATCTCGTTGAAAAGCGGCCGAGGGAGTCTGCAAAACCGCCGGAAGACTCGGTCATGATGTG